AAAATTAGGGCTGGGTGCGATGGCTCACGCCTGTAATCCCAGCACTTTGGGAGGTCAAGGCAGGCAGATCACCTGAGGTCAGGAGTTCGAGATCAGCCTGACCAACATGGAGAAACCCTGTCTCTACTAAAAACACAAAATTAGCCAGGTGTGGTGGCACACACCTGTAATCCCAGCTACTCAGGAGGCTGAGGCAGGAGAATTGCTTGAACCCGGGAGGTGGAGGTTGCAGCAGTGAGTCAAGATTGCGCCACTGCACTCCAGCCTGGGTGATAGAGCAACACTCTGTCTCAAAAAAAAAAAAAAAAAAAAAAGCTAACCATACAGGCCCCAGGTCCCTTGTTCCCTGGAAGGTGTTAGGCCAAGCACTCCTAGTCTCTGAGGCACAATGCACACCAGGTCCAAGCTGACAGATGGCACATGTGTACCATGTCCTGCCTCCCTACCCAATTCATTTTCACAGAGACTTTGCTTGAGTTTATGTGAACCCAAATCATTCTATTTTTTTTAAAGTGTCAGAACTAAAACAAACTGGCGACCTCAAAAATACACCTCAGCAGGTGCAGTGGCTCATGCCTGTAATTCCAGCGCTTTGGGAGGCCGAGGCAGGCGGATCACCTGAGGTCAGGAGTTTGAGACCAGCCTGACCAACATGGTGAAACCCCGTCTCTAACGAAAATACAAAAATTAGCCTGGTGTGGTGGCGCGTGCCTGTAATCCCAGCTACTCAGGGGGTTGAGGCAAGAGAACCACTTGAATCCGGGAGGTGGGGGCTGCAGTGAGCCAAGATCACGCCACTGCACTCCAATCTTGGGGAGACAGCGAGACTCCGTCTCAAAAAAAAAAGGCCGGGCGCAGTGGCTCATGCCTGTAATCCCAGCACTTTGGGAGGCCAAGGCAGGCAGATTACCTGAGGTCAGGAGTTCGAGACCCTGTCTCTTATACACATCTAGATGTGTATAAGAGACAGTCTCCTGACTTCGTGATCCGCCCGCCTCGGCCTCCCAAAGTGCTGGGATTACAGGCATGAGCCACTGCGCCCGGCCAGTGTCCCATTTCTACCTTGGGACCCTCACCAGTTCCTAAGCATGCAGTAGTCTGCCCTCTCAGGGTGAGTGCAGAGGGCCGGGCCTGGGGTCTTCCTCCATTCATATCCATGAGCCCGAAGCCCCTCTGAGGACAAGACCGCATCCCCTCTTTATATGGCCGCACTCCCTGGTGCCCGACCCAGACCTCTGTGTTCAGTGTCTGGGGTGGAACATGGGGGCCTCTCTGTCTCCCCATCTGGCCTCTCTCATCCCCTCAGCCATTACCTTCTCCATCTGGCTGGGGGATGCTGCGGAAGAGACAGTGTTGCTCCCGAATGAACTGTCCGGTCAGCTTGATGTCCATATCTACCTGGCCGACCCTGGGGAAGCAGTGGCCAACATGTGTGAGCATACGCGACTTTAACCAAGCCCTGAACACTAATTTATCCAACTCAATGAGCCAAGCAAATTACTCCCATTTCACAGATGAGGAAGCAGAGGCTCAGGGAGGAGAACGGGTATGCCCAGGGTCATTCTGGTGGGCAGTGGTGATGCTGGGATCTGAGCCCAGGTCTGCCTGACTCTGAAGCCATGCTCTTAGTCACCATGTTATACAGCAAAGGGGAAAAGCAAACCTGGGAGAAAGGGGCACCCTCAGCCACAGGCCTCCACCCATCCTTAGGCTGATGATCCTGAGAGCTCACTCCCTACCCACGATGCTCATCAAGGACAGCCACAAATGCCTGTGGTGGGAGGGGAAGGGCACCCTCACCCCTTTAGGGCAGGCACCGAGCCCCCAGGACTTCATAATACCAGCCCAAGGAGCCACCTGCCTTTAGCTGCCCAGCCCTCAACTGCAGAGACCAGGCCGTGTTTCCCTTCTCCCGCCCCCAGGGAAGGCCCTACCAAGGGAGGCCAAGACAATGGCATCAGGGGCTAAGAATGCGGGGGTCTACGTTTCCCAACTCTCCTGCCCCAGTAAACAAGGATGTCTCGCCCTAACCAGACTGGCAGGTGGAGGCAAGACAACCACTGAGCAGGCAGGCTCAGCGACTTCTCTTGAAGCTGGGAGAGCATGCAGGGCTGTGGAAGCAGCTGTTTAGAGATCTGAGGTATCTCCAGGGACCACCAGGGAAGGGAGACAGACACCAATGTGGCCAACCCCCTGCAGCCACACCCCAAAAGCAGAGGCTGCCCCCCAGGTTGCTGGGTACACGCTACCTGGTGACACCATCCTTGATGTGGTAGAGCAGACACTCAGACATCAGAGGGTCTTCGTTCAGGTTCACCAGGTGGGGAGTCTAAGATGGAAGAAAAATGTGGTCAGGGGGAGCCAGCCAGGGCTGCTATGGAAAGGAAGAAATGGAGCGGTGGGAGGAGACACCCCTCCAGGCCTGGCACTGCCAGCTGCGCCCCCTCACTCTGGAGAGCTCTCCTGCTCTCTGTGCTCCTCCCATCGTCATCCTTCCACCCTGAGGATCATATTGGTTCTTTGGTTCCCACCTCTCACACCAGCCGCCTTCGGGACAGCCTGATCCACCCTCTCCTCACACAAGGGGCCTACAAAAATTGCCCCACCCATCCAGCTGTGTCCAAGTCAGCAACCCTTCCCAGGGCCTGTCTCTTCGGAAGCACCTCGACCCACCAGGCTCCCTGACCGGAAGTCCCGGACCCCCCTGCATTCCCTTCTTCTTCCCTATATTCCTCTGTCTCAGGTCCCATCATTTCTTTCCTCAAAATGTACCTGGCAGCTTCTGGAGAGTTGGGGGAGACTGAGTGAGCAGACTGGTGCTCCCCACCTTTCATCAACCTTGAATTTCCTACACACATGAATCACTTTCACAATTTAAAAATGAAAGTGGCGCTTCAACTTAAAAGCAAATGGAACAAACATGTTTCTTGAAGCGGACTCCCTGACTCTTCCCCAGTGACTACCTCTCCCTGGACTGCTTCACCTCAAGCCCGCGTCTCTGCAGCGCCTGCCTGGGGCTGTCCTCGCCTGAGCCCCTCAGCGAAGTCCATCCTCAGTGACTGTCATGCTGCTGTGCTGAAAACCCAGCCCATTCCCTTCTGCCAAAGCACCTTCTCCTGACTTGTTTCCGTTACAACAGCCCTGCCCTTGCTGGGCAGTACTCTGGGTGGCACACAGGCCTTGCTGCCTCTGTACCCGTTCATGCCACTGCTGCCACACCTGAGGAAGTCTCCCTTCCTGCCAGCTGCTGCCCCCTCACACACCTGTCCATCCCTGGGCACCACCCTGTCCCAGGCCCACCTGCCTTCCTGCCACCCCTCAGGTCTCCCAGCTTCCTGCCCACACCTCGCTATGGCCATGTCTTTGCGTCTCTGCTGAGACCTCTCCGGCTGGAACCCCAGGCCCGCAGGACTTGAGCCTGCTTTTTCCCCTGGCATCCCCGGGCCTCCTCCATGTCCCGGCTCTAGTCCACCTGTCCAGGCCCCCCTCCCAGGCTTCTCTCCCAGGGTCCGGACTTCCACTCAGTGGACCCCTGAGCACTCACTCCAAAGCAGGCCTCCCTGACCACCAGTGTCCCCAACAACAGCCCCCCTCCCACCCTGCCTCCACCTGCCAAAATCATTCACTTCCTTCACGTTCCTCCCAGTGTCTGAAATGTACCTTCCTCCAGGAAGTTTTCCTGAACCTTCCATCAGAACACAAGACCCCTGGCCTCTGCTACAGAAGGACTGACTGTGGCCTCTCCACCGCACCCTGGTGGAGCACTAGGCGGGGCAGAGAGATGAGTCCAGCCCAGGCACTGCTGTCCAGTCAGTCAGGAAATCAGAGTCAGCTAGGGGAGGTGAGGCTTGGCGTGGAAACACCATTACAAGTGGGAAACGGATGCCTCATGGGGGAGTTTCTGATCGTCTCATGCCCTTGCCCAAGTCCATTTGTTCATTCATTTGTTCCCAGGGGGTTGAGTGCCTCTGTGTTCTGGGAGGGACTCACATGCAAAGAGGAACAAAGTGAAGAACTGTGGGATTTCAAGGGGACCAGGAGGACTTAACGGAAGGGCAACGGGGGAGCCGGCCTTGGAGGACGAGGAGGGCGTGGACATGCACAAGGAAGAGCGCTCCAGGAGAAAGCAGCCCGGACAGAAGCACGGAGGCAGAAAGCACAGGGTACAGAAGGGAAACAGCACGGAGTCAAACCTCTGTTTCTCTGGGAGCCACCTGAACACTCAAGAGCCCAAAGCTGTGTCCCCCATGGGTGTCTGTGTATCCGGTGCATCCGCCCTTTGCCCAAGTGCTCTAAGGATCACTCCTGCGATACTTCTCCTGAGGGATACCCATGTCCTTCCCTACACTGCAGTGTGAGGCCTGCTCTGGGACTCGCAAACACTGATGGGCTCCGGAAGCGGAAAGCAATCTATCCCTGGGGAGAGGGAACGCGATTTGGGGCAGTGCTTTTCAACTTTTTCTTCAGCCCTATAACTCTTGGTTCAAAACGAAACCTTCTCTAGAAGCCGAGGACATCAAGCAGATAAGCAAGAAGCCGCTCAGGCCCAGGGTGGGGGTGGGAGCCCCGGGGTCTGGTCTTGCCCCTCTCCTCAGGCCCTGAGAAGGAAGCTCAGAACCAGGTTTGAATATCACTGATTCAAGCAATCCTTAGCCCCGGTGAGGGGGGTCTTAGCAAGAGGGGACTCCCTCCAAGACAAACTGTAGTTTTTTCCTCTAGGACCCAACCATTCCCTGTTGGAGCTATCCACACCAAACCCATTTCCCCCATGAGTCTAACAGTTCTCTCTTCTGGCTTCAGATCACATGGCTTTCGAACATGAGAATAGTTCTTTTTTTTTTTTTGAGATGGAGTCTCACTCTGTCACCCAGGCTGGAGTACAGCGGCGCGATCTCGGCTCACTGCAAGCTCCGCCTCCCGGGTTCACGCCATTCTCCTGCCTCAGCCTCCCCAGTAGCTGGGACTACAGGCGCCTGCCACCACGCCCGGCTAATTTTTTTTTTTTTTTTTGTATTTTTAGTAGAGATGGGGTTTCACCGTGTTAGTCAGGGTGGTCTCGATCTCCCAACCTTGTGATCCGCCCATCTCGGCCTCCCAAAGTGCTGGGATTACAGGCGTGAGCCACCGCGCCTGGCCCAACCACATGGCTTTCAAACACAAGAATAGTTCGTCACCACTTTGAGAAAAATGTAAAAGTGAACTACCCTAAGACAACTTCTCACTAATCGCACTGGCAAAAAGAAAAGTCTTATTAAGCCGGAATGTGGAAAAGGGTGAGGGGAAATGGGCTCTCTTGTAGGTTACCCTTGGGAGTACAAATTGGTATGGTTATAATCTTCAGAGGGCATTTTGGCAATATAGATTAAAATTTTACATGGCTACCATTTCATTCAAAATCTACACTTCTAGGAATCTGCTCTACAGACAACACATTTGTTTTGTTTTGTTTTTTTGAGACGGAGTCTCGCTCTGTCGCCCGGGCTGGAGTGCAGCGGCCGGATCTCAGCTCACTGCAAGGTCCGCCTCCCGGGTTTACGCCATTCTCCTGCCTCAGCCTCTCGAGTAGCTGGGACTACAGGTGCCCACCACCTCGCCCGGCTAGTTTTTTGTATTTTTTAGTAGAGACGGGGTTTCACCGTGTTAGCCAGGATGGTCTCGATCTCCTGACCTCGTGATCCGCCCGCCTCGGCCTCCCAAAGTGCTGGGATTACAGGCTTCAGCCACCGCGCCCGGCTCAGACAACACATTTGTAAGACTATGCATTGTAGCCTTTTTTGTAGTATCAAGGAATGGAAAACATGCTGAATGTCCATCAGTGGGAAGCTGGTTAAATACATTATCCTACATCTACACAACAGAATACCCTGACACCGGGGAAAAAAATAAAGGAATCTTTAAAATAAGGTATACAGGCCAAGCGCAGTAGCTCACACCTGTAATCCCAGCACTTTGGGAGGTCAAGGCCGGCACATCATTTGAGACCAGGAGTTTGAGAATAGCCTGGCCAACATGGCAAAACCCCGTCTCTACCAAAATACAAAAATTAGCCTGGCGTGGTGGCGGGTGCCTGTAATCCCGGCTACTCGGGAGGCTGAGGCATGAGAATCACTTGAACCTGGGAGGCTGGGTTTGCACTGAGCCGAGACTGTGCCACTGCACTCCAGCCTGGGTGACAGAGTGTAACTCTGTCTCAAAAA